ATGTTTACACAATCTGTAATATGCAAATTTTGTCAGTGACATTGAAAACTATGCATTGGGAATGAAAAGAAACCTGCGGCATTCCTTATGTAGGAGGAAACTAAAAACAACGAGCACATGTTGAATGTTTTGTAACAGTGAATAGGATGTCTCAGCAAAATGATTTAACAGAGTTGGTAGCTTGGAGGGCCATCGATCATTTAGGGGCAGATCAAATGCAATGTGCATACTTGCCAACCTATGACACTCAAAAATCAGGACATTTTTCACAATGTTAAAAAGACTTTTTAAATGATAAAAATATAGTTTTTAATAATGAATTAACTTTAAATAGTTACTAATTCTTAAATGCAAGCAACACAAAAATACCTTACACATAAAACCATTTTTATTACTTGCATCGTTTAAGAAAACAAAACAACAACAAAAAAAAAGACATTTTAATCAGTTTTCGTACAAATGTTATGAACAGTGGCATATTTTGCTTTCGTTAAGGGAAAAACTTCATAATTTTGTTCATAGCAACTGTCACATAAGCCTGCTTTCGCTAATAAAAGTTTCTCTAATGTGTCATCAGGGACAGGGACAGGGAAAAGTGGACGGAGCACCAGAACTTCGTCAGTGACTTTTACAGGTGTTGCTCCGCCGCACTACTGTACCCCGCTGGGCTTTTAGTTGGCCCGCATCGGATGCTAGCCTACCAAGACATTTACATAGTAATTTTACATTAATATTAGACTTACGTATTGAATATACAATTACAAAGACATATCGCAACACTGAAAAATCCTCTCATACTCTCCATTACTATGAAGAATTAAGATGGCCAACATAATTTTAGGCAGTTTACTATATTTTAAAATTCCATCAGCACCTTTCAGTTTTCAAATTAAACTCCACTAAATGCCAATCCAGCTGATTTTATAACTTAATCCAAGTTTTCTATTTGTAAACTGCAAACTTGCGACCGCAATATTTATCAGTGACAACATCAATATCATCATCTTTCATGACTAAATGAAGTAACACAGGAAATCTGTTTAAAAAGTAACTTATATCAGAAAAATATGCACTTGCTAGAGCAGAAACATCAGCAACTTTAGCATGCAAAATCACTTCATCGTTCACTGGAAATTTATGTAGTATGTAATCACATACTCGACAGAAGTAACTTCTAACATAAAGATAAAACTTACTGTAATTTTGCGCGTATAGTCCACGGACTATCTGTGTTTAAAATGCGAATTTTTGAAGCTGCGGACTATCCACCAGTGCGGATAATACGCTGGTTGTTCACGGTTAAAATCGTTGAAATTTAAAAAACACGCTGTCGTGAACTGCCGATGATCAAATATAAAAAAAGCGCGAGATTCCAAGAAAACATTCGTATGTATCGTATCGATAGTAAACCATTGAGCATAGTGCAGAACGAATGAGTAGTAGCAAGTAGAGCTCCTAAAATCCAGGCTGGCGCATCAAGCGATGCCGGGATATGAGCCAAAGAAAGTCTTGTATGAGCACTCACTTAGCGCAACCAGAGTCTTGTATCCCAGTATCCTTCGCACTGCTTTAATAGTGCAACTGCCAGGAGGGGGGGAAAAGTAGTTGATGCGTCAAGGAGCTCGGTTTTTAGGAAGCCTTAGTAGCAAGTACCTGGAGTACAAATGAAAAAAAAAAAAAAAAGCGTGATTTCGTTTACTTATAGCGTGGTTTGGCAACACCGAGTGAGTGGGGTCGAAGGTCACATTTCATTACCACTTATCATGAGTAAAGCACGTAGCACAGTATTTTGTTTTCGTATTTTGTCTTTCATCTTCGATAACGTTGATGAAACATTGCCGGAGTTTTACTGCTGAGTTTAAACTCAAGGTAGTTGAGAAAGCTGAGAAAGATGGAAATAGAGAAGTGGGCCGTTATTTTGGTTTTAATCCTAGTATTCGGTGCACACGGGATTTGGCTACTTTTGGCGACTTATGATGAGCAGTAAAAACGGGACATATACGATGAGTAGTTAACGGGTCATTTAAAAAAAATATATAGTTTAACATAGTATATACTACATATATAGTATATATACTATGTATATAACACACCATAGTATATAGTGCATAGTATATATATAGACGTTCTTTGGATCATTTTTGGTGTTGGCGATAATTTTCAAAGTCGTGCCAAGGCTGCACCGTATACTAGGATTTTACCCCGTTATTTTGAAGTGGACGAGAAAGCGGTGAGAAATTGGCGCAAACAAAGGATGTGTTTAAAAAGCATGGGAATATTGCCGTATTAAAAAAACGTAATTTCGGACATATAGTCCGCGGACTATCTGACGATTTTTGAAATTTTTTTTATATAAAATCTTGCGTGCGGACTATACGTGCAAAATTACGGTATTTTTGTCTTCTTCTGAAAGTTTTCTAACAACTTTTGTAGTTGCAGCTCCTATTACCAAATCTTCCTCTTTCTTCTGATTTTCTAGTTCACCATAAATCACATCATATATAGAATTACAAGAAAAAAGGCTCCAGTAAAAAGGCAGAGAACAGAAATTCTTCATTAATAACTTTTTGGTCTTTTCTTTCCAAAGAAAAGTTTAATTTTTCATTTTTTTCAAAAAAACTCATGTTGTCCTTGTGTTCGCACCTGTTTGAGAACATCTACCCTTCCACCATGCGAAATCGAAAAATCGCAACGACAGACGGTAAACATCGCATATTTATTACATTTCCTTGAGGAAATAAAGGAAGGAAAGTCAACTGTGTACTATTTTTGAAACGTACACGAGTATTATACCTTTCTCGCAGACATAACAAAAGATGATAATTTCTAAAACTAGTTCCCGAAGGCACGCAAACTCACACAACTCGGGACAAGATGAACAAAATTACTAAAAGAACATCCAAACAACAGCTTTCTTGCTTTGTGCTCATTAGCTATATATGCCAGATGACACACAGTGGAGCTCGATGCCAATTGGTGAACTGGAGAACGACGTTTCTGGATATGTATGCTCTCACTCACAAAGCAGAAATTCTCATCTGATTCACAAGGTTTTGTTTTAGATATAATCTAGAGAAAATTCAATTGCTTTCAGACATCCAAAATCACCTTTTTTGTTCATATAATAAAGTATGAAACCAAGTTCCATAAAAATCGTGAGAAATTTTAAGAATAAGAAAAAGTCGGGAGAAATATATTGTAAATCGGGTTGGCAGGAGAGCGGTCAAAAATCGGGAGAGTTGGCAACTCTGAATGTGTTATAGCGGAAGTGATGGGAATTTTTCAAACTGTCATTTTTCAGTTTATGAAATCAGTTTTTGGAAACTGTATATGTTCACCATTGGCACAAGGTTACAAGCCATTGGTACAAGGTTGTACACCTGCAACAACAGAATAAGGATTGGCATTTAACGCTAACAGACAGATGATACTGCACCATGACACCACTTTCTAGCAACAACGCATTTAGAGGGCGACTAGTACCAGAGTTTATAATGTTTACAAAAGCTTACAAATGTACTCAAACTGTTTGAAATTGACTGTGAGCATGTGGGCTAGTATGCTCGCAGACCTATGGTTTGTGTTTCATTGACACAGGGCTATTGTGCTGCTTGTAAAAGGTGGGCATAGGGGTACCTCGGATAGGGATGAGATGAGTGGAGTAATATGCTCTTCACGGATGAGTTCTGCTTTAGTGTACAACTTAACAATAGGTAAATTCCCATCTGGAAGGAACCTGGTACATGGAATACTCCTGCATTTTTGCCTGAAAGTGTCTTGATTTGGTGGAGGCAAAGTGATGGTCTGGACTGGTACTTCTATGAAATGCTGCACCAACCTGCATATTATCAGGAATGGAGCACTAATGGTTCAGAAATGCAGGGTCCTCAGACCTATTGTGATCCTTTACACTACAGAAGTCGAGGATAAATTCATTCTCATTGATGATAACATCAGGCCACATTGTGTTCAGCTAGTGGATGATTTCCTTTTTGACGAAGGAATCCTTTGAATGGACTAGCCAGCAGGTCCCCAATATATGAACCCAACAGAATATTTTGGGACATTCAAGGACAAAGGGCTGCTAATCACTTATCACCTGCAGAAACAATTAAACGGTTTGAAAGCTCTCTTCTATAGGACATTCCACTTCCTCACTGATAACCTCATGGATTAATTACTTTATAGGGGTGCAACACTGCTTTCAGTCAGGAGAAACCATACTTGTTATTGAAACTCATTTGCATCACAAAAATCATATTCTTTATTTGTTTGTACAATATGCATAAATTACGCATTTTTTTGTTTACCGAAAATATTGTCAATAAAATTTAATTATTCCTTGTTCGTTTCTTCTTTTTTGTTCTCATATCTTATAACACTTATACATCATGTATCAATCACTAAAACATTTCCTCATCCGCAGTGTATGTGCAAAATCATAATATCCCCCACCTGTTAAATTTAAACACTTTTTAATCAGTGTTTAAATTTAACATCAAAGGTACATAATGGTTACACCTAAATAACATTAAGATACTTCTCTTTTTTTTATTCATCTAATAATTAACGGATGAGCAGATATTTTTAACTTTTCTGTTGATGTTCTTTTTATAATTAAGTGTACACTGCACTAAGAGGAAGGGCACTCAGAAAGAAAAGAGTGTATACTTCAATGTCATCAATTATTTTCCAGCATAAAGTATCCAGAAAACAATGTACCTTTTAAAATATTTGCAAGTACAAAATGAGACATATTTCTAAATAAGTCCTAAGTTACTGCACCTTACTGAGCTCACTTTAATTCATCAAATAACAAAATAATTTTCAAATCCTCTATTAATGCATATAACAGAATATATAACAGAATAAAATAATGCATTCATATCAATAATAGGTATTAAAAGAAGGAAAAGAATTAAAAATAAATTAACCAATGCATAGTTATTATATAAAGAATCAAAAAATAAAGTAACACAAAGAAAAGAAATTTATCTTACAGTTATTAAACCACCAATGACACCAATAAAGAAGCCTGTTAATACATCCAGCAAAAAATGTCTGTTATCCAAAATCCTTGATATACAGCAGACTATGGTCCATATTAAAGACAAAAGAGGAATACATCGAATCCACCAGGTACACAAAGGAGTATTTTTGCAATGCTCTGCTTTTGAATAAGTATACATCTAGAATGAAAAGAGAGAAAAGCCTTTAATAGCAAGTAAATACTTGCTAAATGAAGAACATAATTTAAAATATTTGATGCTTTCTTTCCAGTATACTCTCAAAACAAATTACCACAATATTGTGATAAATGATTTATTTATTAACTACTATTTTTATTTCTGTGCAAAGCGAAGACAGACTTATCCTCTGTTTTTTTATATACATGTAAAAAATATATTTTAAAAAGAATTTTACTGTGACATATTCTGAGTATTTTAAACATTACTCTATATCTCAGTGTGATTTACTTACTCAGTTTAATTTCTTCAACCATTATATTCAAATACATATATATCATATACCCCACTGCATATAGTTTTAATATATGGGTTTTAAGTGTTCAAAACATATTACTTAGATTGTTGATGTCCTTATGCACAGAGTGGTCATAAAATTACCTGACCAATAAAAGATGATTTCAGAAGCATGGAAAGCAAGAAACCTCTTGCAACTTTTGCAAAATTAATCAGGGTGACATGTTTGTGATATACGAAAACAGTAATCTAATCCTTATGAGAGTCACAGCTAACTCAATCATATTTCAAAAGTTTCTGATACAAACACCATGATTTCATGATGTCATGAGATTCTACATGAAAGTAAACAGTACAAAGACTTAAAATGGTGCGTGTAAAGTAAAAAATAACATAAATCATGAAGGAAATAAAAAATTAAAGAAGACAAGTAAAGATGAACTGTTTACTTTTAATGAGTACTGGTCAAAACACAGGTATTAGCAGCAATATATATATGTAATATTTTGGCAGTCGGGCACATGAGTGAAGCTTGGCAATCTGGTCACATCAGAATTCTGGATGACCAGATGACAACAATGATGTTGTGGCTGAGTGTAAGGCGGCATCCAATGACAACACAGAAGGATTTAAATTTATAGCTCCATATCTTTATTCAATTCAAAAGGCAGATCATTATTCTTTACTAAATAAGATTAACGTTAAATTCCCTACGTCGTAGTATTTGAACAAAGGGAGACAGATGAAAAGAGCAGCAGCATAGGTCTTAACAGCAGTAGAGTGAGAAAGTGGTCTCTGAATCAAAATGGCGTGAATTCTTGATTTATAGAAGTGGTTACCTAATATGCTCGAATGTTCTCGAAAGTACTGGTCTAGGGGAAAGATCCTGAAATTGCGAAAAGTTAATTAGAGGTGGCTTGTTTGCAGAGAGCAAAGCCATCGTATTTTTTATATTTTACACATATATCACCTAGGATAGTCTATACTTTCTTCATCATATTTTCCTTTAAGCCACTCAGTGTACAGGAATTATTTCAGAAGATTCTGGACTTCAGATAAACTCATAGCCAGAAATCCATCAGTCTTAGATTGGAGAAGAATGAGATTATAAGAATAGAAAATTATGAGAAATGATGAAATTATATCCAAATTACTTAAGACTAATTGATTTACATATCATTTGTGTAGACAGTGCTGAAGAACTGCTTGTGGCTGCTACACTATACAATTTTAATTTTAAGGGTGAAAGATTTCTGAAAAACCAGGGTTATAGGAGACTTTCAGACATATCTCCTAAACCCTACAGTCACTTGGCATCAGGCGACAAAGACTGTTATCGAAGAAATAAAACCAGTTCTTATTTAGTTGCTTCATAAATATGGCTTTGACAAAATTTGCTTAATGCTTTCATAGTACAAGAATTTTCTACGTAACACAGATTCATGGGTTTATAACATTGCTTCTGTAAAAGTCTCATCCTTCTTTTCCATAAAACATCCAATTCATGCAGAAAATTTGGAAATGTAATCTTTATTCTGACTAGTAGATACTTTTACATCTCACCTATAGTGCTATCCTTTCACTGGTGAACTTGAAACAGCTGTTCTATTGAGGGCATTGGCTTGTTCACCTGTTATTATTTAAAGACTGTTAACCTCTTTTTTTTTTTTTTTTTTTTTTTTTTTTTTTTTTTTTTGTTCTATACACATTGTTTCAACACCTTATGCTGTTATCATCATAAAGAATATTGAGCTATCTGAAAATCCTGGTACTTATATTAGAAATTTGTTAGATGCGATTAAATTAACTGTAACTATGATACATATTCTTACCCTGTTTTCACATACTGTGAAAGTATGCCCCTTTTTATAATGAATTCCTCACTTTTTACACTCCAGAAGTTGCCATTAGTTAGTTAAGTTACACTATAACCAAACAGTAATTAAATGTGATAATCAAAGTGTTTGTTCATCTATTCAGACCAGAATGATGTTTCTTCGAGAAGTGTGGAAGAAATTAACTATGATGTTTCTGCAGGACCTTCTAAACAGGACAAAATTATGAATAATTGCTTTTTTTTAAATTACAAGGTTGATTACTTCTGCAACAAAATGCACTAAAAAAATTAAGTAATTTCTCATAAAAGAATTCAGTGAAAATTTCAGAATTCTCATTTATTTGCAATATGTTACATACTCTGTTAAGGATGGTGTAGATCAGATATTTAATCCACAGGGGCAATTTGCCCTGAAGGACCATTAATTTCGTTTAGGCATTTTGCATCGAAAACTTTAAAAGGCTGCATCACTTTTCAAATCATTGCCACCATATATTATCACCCTATCTTATATTTAAAGAAATTAAATAATGAAGAATCTGCATAAATGTATGTATGTTTCTCGCATTGTGATAAAACAACAGTACCTAGAGCCATCAAAATTTGAATAATGTAATCTTCCATAGAATATGGGCCTAATTTCCATAGAATATGGGCTTAATTTGAATTTGAAATTTGTTTTATTATCGATTTCAGATTTTGTAACACTTCAACAAATTTTTGATTAAAAAACTAAATGATTTCAAAGTGAGCAATGGCAACACTATATGAAAAAAAAAAAAACATTTTTATTTTCCAGCATACGACACTCTGTATCGGAAATTCTAATGACATGCTCATTTTAAATTAATTTGCGATATTGCTGTTGAACTGAATTTTATAGTTTGAGTACATAGAAGATGATATTTAATAAACAAATTTAACACACAAAATGTTAATAAACAAACCTTTGGATGTAATTTAAAATCTGAAACCTTTTAGATTTTTTTTTTAATTCAATTTTCTTTTCTCTTCTTTTTAAATAAATATCCGAAATTTCTATTTTTACTGCTGTTGTGAAATGAAATTGAGTTTTAAAATCCATCTAAATTCAAAGATGTGAAAGCAGATGTCTTAGGAAGAACAAAAAGCTTCTATGCATATACTCAAAAATGAACAAAAAGTTTATATGTTTATATGTATATACATAACCAAAAAGATTATTGTAGGCATACAAATAAAGTTTATACATATAATGAAAATATTTAAATTACTTAGTAATATAATAGTGTTTAATAGTGTTACATATGAATAAAATACAAATATAATAAAATGAAATAGAAAACAATTTCTTCTGATTAATTTTCACCACACCAAAGAAGCTTGCTAACTGTACCGAAAAATTTCCAAAATCTTATTTTAAAAAGTGCCATTTGCAATACATTAAATCTAGTATGATAGACAAGAATGCATCATTTCACATGAACAGAATGTAATGGAAGCAAATTTTCTTTTCTTTTGAATTTATCCATTTAAAATAGGATAGTGCATGAAAAAACAAAAATCTTCTGCTTTATGATACAGATTCAATTCTAAAATTTGTTTTAATTTTTTTATTTCAAATTTTTTTGCTATTATTTCTGCATAATTGCTATTTTGTCATTTTTGTTATTGACATGAACTGAAATTCAGTTTCAGCATCTCAAAATTCACAGATGTAAAAGAGATCTTCTAGCAAGTGAACAAAAATGCATGTAAATATACATATTTACCCCCCCCCCCCAAAAAAAAAGAGAGAGAGAGAATTACAAGCATACAGAAGATCAAATTAGATGCTTTCCACTAAAGTGGAAGAAACATTTTTTTTTTTTTTTCTGTGGAAGAAACTTGCCAATCCTCATCCATACTGCTCATATTCCAGATCAAAAAGCAAAACTGTGCCACTATATAAAATTTTGACAATTTTGGCTCAAGATTAGCAATGATTATTAACTGAATATTTCAACTAATTTGTGTTTATGTCACTCATGACGGAAATCACAAAAATACCCACTGAGTCAACCATCCACCAGGAACTTGAAACTGGGCTGAGCTATCTAGAGGAGTGGTCTTATCCACTTGATCACTAGCAGCATTGAAATACTGATTTAAAAGAAATGATACAATTGCCCTTACAGTAATTTGTATAAACAAGCTGTCTCAAAACTAGGGTTACAATCTCATAAGAGAGGTAAAGGACATCCACGCAACTCAAAATCATGTAGCAAGGCGGCTAAAAGTAGGGAATGACATGTGTAAGCAGTAGTCTACACTGAAATGAAAGGATGCCATGTAAAAGAATATGCATTTTAATGTATATTCACAAAATGTACATTCACAAAAGTAACAGAGGTCAATGAAGCCTTCCTCTATCAGTTGCAATGAAAGGCTTATATTTTTGACACATGGTATCCAAAATATTCTGCAAGATTTCAAGCATGTTTTGGAATTTACTCCACAGCTACTGTGATATCTGTAATCAGTTCCTTGGTGATATCAATAGGAGTGCCATACATTTCTGTTTTATATACCCAAAAAAGTAATCAAAGGCATGATAGGTGCAATGATAGAGCTGGTCAGTGCACCCAAGAGTCATGCTCAATCCACTGTTGGTCAAGCGTTATGTCTAAGCAGCCCAATTTACAAGAGGCATATCAGCTAACCAGATGCTATAAGCTTCATTTTTACATTATCACTCAGCCCATTAACTTTTACATCCGTGTGTGAAATGAAGCTTCCCTGCAAGAATGCTCGGACTACCATATTAGATAAGTATACCATATTAGTGAAGCATTTTTGACCTTGCATTACCATATGATTCTTAGTTACTTGAGTGCACCCTAGCCTTCCCACAAGTTTGTGACCCTGGTATTGAAACACCCTGTACATTTAAGTGCAATCCATTTACTTTTTAGTGATGGCAAATAAAAATCAGTAAAAGGAGTCACTTTAATACATAATTTGAATAACATCTTTAATAATAAAAAAGAATATCCATCATCAAAACATCATTTGTATTTGCCTTTTTTTTTTTTTTTTTTTTTGTGCTCAGATCTATTGAAAAGAGTTGAAACATACCCTGATTTTCACGAAAAGCTAAATATGTGTAATGTTTTACACCATGGCTATCTTTCTTTGATGATTTTATAAAACCTGGTTACATAGTTTTTTTTTTATTTACTATAGAGAATTTTTTTTTTATCAGCTCATCACTAAAGTAATGAAAAATTCAGTTAAAATGTATTAGTTACTTCACAATTCTTTATTAAAAAAATAAAATTCTCATAAAATGTTCTCCTTTAAATGATGAAGTATTTCACTAGTTGTGATAAAAAATTAGCTCTTAGGCTCTACGTAAGCACTCACTATTTTTCAAAATTTTCTTCGAAATAATTGAGCCAATTAGGTTACTTTACAAACTTTCAAAGTTGGCACATAAATATCAACAAATCAAAATTAATACAAAAAACTACTCTGCTTACAGCAATAAATACAAATGCATAAGATGAAAGAGAAGAATGTCCAGAAGGAAATGACTTGTAAATATCTCTTTCTACAAGCCATCGTGGTCCTTTTCCTGTGCAATTAAATGATGTAATATACCTGAAATAAAAGATGTCTTTTAATCAGAAGTATGCAGCATACACTTGGAGGTAATAACTAACCTGTACACAAATAAGAACACTAAATAAATGTATACAATGACAGATAACAAAATTTGTATAAAATAACTATAATTAAATATCAGAGTAATTGAATGAAATTACAAATAATAAAAACTATGTAAAATAACCCATAACTAAATATCTAATGAATATGGTGAAGTGCACAAAAGCTATTTGTCTAAGAAGAGAAATGCTTTACTTTATTCAGTAAAGAGGAAATATAATTTATTCTACATTCCAATTATCTTCCCTATTGAAAGAAAAAAATTATAAATAATATTTTTTATTCATTTCAATATATTGATTATTCCAGTCATTGCAATAAAAACTATCTGGAGACAAATAAACTGCAATTCTCAAGATTTAACACCAGATATATAATACTAAGAAATTTTGTCATGAACACATAAGACAGAAAATAGTGACATATCAACCATAGAATCAAAGCCAATAATGTAATCTACGCAATCTTTGTTTTTAGATGTACACTCCGAGATCATACTGAAGAACTGAAATGTAATGTGATCTTGTAAAGTCAAGTTTCATCAACACTTCCTTAAACTTCCAGAAAAAAGATTTATAAAATTTGTATATTATCTCCTAGCTATACATAACTATTATTGCAACAATTAAAATGAGTTACACATCACCACTGTTATTATTCAATTAAGCAACTACTTTCATTGCATTACTATTTTTTTGGTGTAGAATTTAAAAAGCATTTAGTTTAGCCTTAAGTTGATTTTCAATTTTATATCATCCATTTTGCATGCAGAATAGTTCTTCCACCTGAAAATTATTCTGTAAATATTATAAGTATTTTCAAAGTTAATATATAGGTATGTGTTTCACTGACAGCAAATTTATATATTTATTACAGTGTTTTCCAAGATAACTACATATTCTTCTTATTTATTTTTCCACTATCCCTCCTAATTTTTAATGAAATTTTTGAAAAAAAAAAATTTAAAAAGAAGACATTTATGTTGTTATAATTATGTTGACATTTATGTTATAATATATTTTAATAAAATTGCTTAACTTTCAGTGAGAATTAGATGTAGTAAATGCATATAAATATGAATATTCAAAATTATACAATACATTCAAAAATACTCATAACAGTTGTTAATTTTTAAAAAGTTACATATACATTCCAATAAATATCATCTTAAAGACTGTTTTAACTTGGAACAAAATTAGGACAGGAAAAATAATTTTTGAATAAAATTGCCAAAATAGTCACTCGCACTATGCTATTTATCTCAAAGAGAAAAACAACAAAAAACATGATAAAATTCCAAGTGCTTGAGGAAAGTAAACATAAAAAGATCTGGATAGTTTTTCTATCACAAAATAGAAGTCAAATTCAAACGACAAAAATAATTATTTGTCAATTGCTTATTAACATTTAATCTGAAATTTCATCTAAGTTTTCCAACACAAGATACATATTAAAAGCAAAATATAAATTATTCATTAAGTGAATTATTATTATGCTCAGACTATAATTAAGAACATATTTTATCTGAAAATCATTATTTGAGAATTTGGGGATTCTTTATTATAAAGTGTTTCTCAACTTTTCATAAGAAAATGTCTCTTAAAAAAGGAACATTTACATTAATTGGAACAGTAAAAAGTCTAAATTAATTCAAAAGTTTTCAAGTACATAAGAACATCAGGCCGATCATCGAAGATGAGTCTGGAGACGCCCAAAGCAGTGTGCCATTCTTGCTTTCACTTTTGCATGCCACACAAGCCCTCAACCAGAGTTATGGTCTGGGATGCCATTTCCCACGATAGCTGGACTCCTTTGGTCGTCATTAGAGGCACACTTACAGCACAGCGGTACATCAACGACATTCTGAGATCTGTTCTGCTACCATTCCTTTTGCAGTACCTTGACCTTATTTTTTAGCAAGATAATGCCAGATTACACAGGGTACGTGAATTTTTAAAAGCTTTAAGATATATTTACTTTTGGGCATATGAACAGTTGTCCAATAAATGGTGCTAATATCAGTTGGATTTATCTGATAAGACTGTTTTTGATTGGAATGATTATATGCATGAAGGATTTGGAGGCTAATCGAAATATTAAAATTGGAGGGCCCGGAATGATTGTCAAAATTGACGAAAGCCTTTTTTAAGCAATGAAAGAATAATCATGGTTGTATCTTGCCACAGCAGTAGGTCTTCGGTGGAATTTGCCAGGAAACAAAAAGAAACATTTCTAGTCAGAGTTCTAGACTGGAAGGCAACAATAATGCATGAAATCTAAAATAATATTGCTGAAGGCTCAACAATAATGTCAGATTCGTGGCCTAGATATCAAATAGAGGAGCTCATTGCTGCCGGTTTTGAACATTTTAAGGTGAATCATGGATACAAGTTTGTTGACCCATCTACGCAGACTCCTATTCAACACATTGAAAGGATGCTGGGTTCTACAAAATGGAGGAACAAGCGACAACGTGGGACAAACTGCCATCATTTAGCTGAATTTATTTGGTGGAAAAAACAGGAAACATATTTTCTGCCAAATAAATTCAGATGCTATTTTTAAAGCTATTTCCCACCACTTTCCTCACCATTAACTTCAATGTTTTCTTTTAACCAGTTTTAAGTAAATTAATTTGGTAAAAGTATATTTTAGGGTACTCCTTGGCGAAACTTGGCGGTACATGGATACATTTGCTATTTTGGCCTATGTTGCGGTGATTTTGGTGCCAAAATTGCCGCTATGGAAGCCAATATAACAAGTCAAAGAACTGCACAAACTTGGTATCCATGTACACATCGACCTATTTTCACTTTAAAAAAAAATCCTCGAATTGCACAAACTATGCTTTACGCACTCCCTTGAGTTTGTCCATGTACACATCAATATATTTTCAATTAAAAACTCAAAGGAGCACTCAATTCTACAGTAGAGGCAAACAAAAAATACATAATCTCAATAAACTACATTTTAAACCAAATAATAAAATAATACAAAAAAGGAAAAAACTGTTATGTATTTTAGCACTACACAAAGCAAATATCTCCTTACCTTATTTAGAAATTCATTTGTCTTCAGTCTGTGGCACGCAAAATTCCTTAACAGCATTATAAAACTATCTAAACTACAATCCGTATATCTGCGTCGCCACAGAAATTCACAAAAATAAGAGTAAAAAATATGCTACATAGTTCCGGACTATGGATACTAAGTAAACCTTCATTTACACACCAGTCAATTAATGCACTTTTTCCCTTTCGTTCCAAATCGTACAGAAACTTCAAATTAATTCTACTATATTCAGCCATTGTACTGTCTAAACAATAAAACAAGCGATGTACTTCCTAAGCAATACACACTACAAAAGCCCTTGAAAAACATCCCATGATTTAAAATTTCCCAGAATAATGCAAACAATTATGTCATAATAGGGTTTCCATAACATTCAACTACTCAGGTTACCACAAATGATACAACAACTTGACGATAAACAAAACAACAACTTCGCGATAATACAAGGGGCACCTTAAAGTCAACTCTACCCATTAATTTTAATTTTTTTCATTTGTATTTACTATGTAGTTTAGATATATATATATATATATTTGGTATTTTTCGTTTTTATTTCTTTATAATTAGGGCTTTAATTTTTAAAAGAATTTATAAACATAAACCAAAAAAGGGCAATGAACATTTTTATCGGCAAATGTTGCTAAGGTAGTCGTCATAGTACGTAAGTATCGAAAAGGTATTAACCAGTGTAATGAATGCTCAAGTACATACTAAATACTAAAATAATATACATTAAGTACATACTAAACTAACAATCTGAAAGTTGTCATGCTTACCCATCAGAACACTTAATGCCACTCATATCAGGAACACACGAGTCAAGAAAATGAGGACGTGGTTTACTAAAAAAGAGTTTTAGGAGTTCAGTCACTGCTAAAACATAAAGAATTCCAGTGTAGTAATACTTCAAATATAAGCAACGTCTGGGCTTTATTCCAACTTCAGAATTTTGTAGAAGAACTTCAGATATAGAAATCTGAAAGAAAACTGATGATTTATAATTTGAAAAAATTAATTTGATTACACACACACACATATATATATATTTAAAGAAAACTTTACTGTATATCAAACCTTTACTTAACCTTTTACCGAAATTTAATACAATTGTAAATTCTATAAACACAAATTATGATAAAAAAATGCTCGAAGGCATAAAGTAATTAAAAATAATAAAAGTACTACAACATATTATTAATCCATAATCATCATTTATACACGCATAAATAAAATTCCTAAGCACAGTTAAAAAAAATAAGTAGTTTAAAATACCTTTTTATATAATTACAATACCAAACAAAAACAGTCACATCACCAAGTTGCAAAATGATCATTTATTACATTTTTTTATTTTATTTTCATACAAATACTTAACTATTATTAAAGGAAAAATAACTACTTTAAATTCCATTAAAAAATTTTAAGTTAACACTAAAAAGAAACAATAATGTGCAAAAAACGTAGTGATCACGAATAGAAAACAATCAGTACCATCACAGAAAAATTATGAATAAAAGGACCAGTACTATAATTTTAATTTATGAAAAACAAAAATCTTAAAATATAATTATAAAATTCAGATAACTTCAAATGCTCTCCCTTACAAGCAATTTCTTAAAAAAAGGGGGGCCAAAGCATACAAATCTAAGATAACTTCATAATTCTAGAACTATTTGGATCTTGATAAAATTTTTAAAAAATAAACTATTACACTTACAAGCTAAAATTAAAATGTTTGTTAACAGAAAAAGGAAAAAACATGTTTTTTTAATACTATAAATGCCAAACAACAATTCAATCAAAACATGTGTTTTTAATTCATTTTAATTTTTTAAAGAAATGGCATAACCATACTCTTAAATTTATAAACATAAAATGTATTGTTATTTTTTATTATCTTAGTGATACCAGTTGTAGATATGATATTAATTTATTTAAAATATGCATTGGTTGACATAAATATATGGGTTTGTTCTCAATGCTTCTGAATACTTTCGTTTTTATTTTTGGCAATACAGATATATGTGTCCTATTATCTTAAGAGAGTTTATTCATTCCTCTTAAGAGTCTGTTTAGCAGTGAGGCAAATATTTTGTATACCATTTAGTGAAACATTTTTCATATTTCAAATGACAAGAAAAATATAATAAAATTTTCAAATTAATTCTGACAATTACGTGAATGTTCCTCTCATAGTTCACCAAAAAATTGAAGCAATTAAACCATGGATTAAATTTATGCAAATTTTTCTAAAGTTATGCTAAGCAGTGCAAACTGCCCATCAGAACATGACAATATATCCCCTTAGCATACTGTCCCAAGAAAGCAGTTTGGTAACTGACGCACCCAATGAAAAGGGGTTTAAAAACATAACTTGATTTGCAAATGACTATGATGTTTCTTAATTGTTTTTATTTGCTATTACATCTAAAACGTTTCTGTTGAAAAACTCCAGCATATTTAAAACTTTTCTATGTTACTTTTATTTGATTTTAGTGTCATTTTAATGATATTTAATTAATTATGGAAGAAGTAAATGGACCCTATCATGTATCCAACACCTAATAGAATATTCAATGCAACTTGAAAACTCTTGTCACAGAAAAAAAGTGCATAACCTCTTACGAAAATGCTTTCACTTTCCTTCTATGCTGAAAATATAATTACAAAAGTTTTCAAGTAGTAATTTTACATAATTTTTTTAGAGGAACACAGGGAAAAAGAGAAAAATATTATCACGCATTAACAGGAAAATCATAAAATTAGAGACAAAACAATGAAAAAATTATTAATAAAATATCAAAAATTATTTTATGAAAAAATGAACTCACAAGTATACCACAGATTCCTAGTAAAACAGCAAGCAGCTGCACAAAATGAATAGAATCACCTGAGTAGGGTTTCTTGATACTTTCATCATCACAGTAAAATCCTGCACCTCTGCCAACAGGTGCATATCGAGAATTTCCCCATATTAGAAACAAAAAGGCTAAAAATAAAATTAGCAGAGCATAAAAAACTGAAATATTTTTATATCAACTTGGAAGGATTTTATTAACAGAAAAATTCAAGAAACAAAAAAGTCACTAAAGCAGTCAGAAAATAAAACTCATTTCATCATTAAACTTACAAAAAATTCTGAAAGGAAAATGTGTTAAGGTAAACTTAAGAGTCATCTTCCTTTAAATTTATGTGTAAGAATACAGGGAAAATAGTAATTATAAGTGAGTTCTAAATAGCAACATTAAATATATATATATATATATATATATCACAAATTACGATAAATCAAACAATTATTTAAGCATCTAACCACGCTCCCAAATGCGTAACTGTTTCTTGATATCTGTTTGAATTATTCATTTTCGGGTAGATAACACAATGCGGAAAACGATTAAGAATTGCATACACAAAGTTTCCGGTTAGCTTGTTTTGCATCACTTGGCATCTTTTGGCCTAAAATTATGTAAGAGAGATAAATAAACTAATACAGAGGTGGCCAGTAAATTGCAAAAAGTTGCGCTGTAACTTCGTTTAGAGTTATCACCATGACTACTGAAGGCTACAACTGCAAGCCTCCGACCGGTGCCATGTTCCTCGATATCGCGAAAGCTTTTGACAGGGTATGGCATCGCGGCCTTATTTACAAACTAATCACTCTCAATTTTCCAGATCATTTTATTCGCTTAATAGCATCTTTTCTTAGCGACAGAACATTCAGAATCAAAATCGGTACTGCTTGGTCAACCACCAGAGTAATTAAAGCTGGTGTCCCACAGGGGTCGGCACTTTCGCTGTACCTTTTTAATATTTATACACAAGACATCTCTTGCTAATAGAATCCCTTGCTAACTCTTTGCCGATGACACCGCCATACTTAATAAAGCCTGCACAGCAATCGCCGTAAGAAACCAACTCCAAAACTATCTCATAAAACTGGAAAAATGGCTCACCCTCTGGAGGATTAAAATTAACCCTGATAAAAACAAGGCAATAATTTTTCGTAAGGGAAACATGAAATACTATCCTTCACCCCCTGAAATATTTGACGAAGAAATAGACTGGAGTAATGAAACCAAATACCTTGGAGTCACCCTTGATCAAAAACTTACCTTCAGAACTCACTTCCGCTCCGTAGTACAAAAATTTTAAATCTCCACAGCTACTATGCGACCTCTTCTTGATAGAAGAAGCAACTTATCTACTAACAAATTAATTTATAATAACTAAACTAATTTTAATAACTAAACAAATTAATTTTATATCGCTCCATACTTCGTCCAGCTCTCCTTTTTGCAGCTCCGATCTGGGGACATGCAGCTAAAACCAATATTAAAGAATTACAAATTCTGCAAAATAAAATTCTACGAGAAATTATCAATGCTCCTTGGTATATTCCAAACATCTACATTCACAGAGACCTTCAAATCGAACTTATTCAAGAGTATATTAAACGATTAGCGGTCAACTTCTTTTATTCAGTTACAAAATCCACAGTAATAGCCTTATTAGACTCTCACACACTCCCCGCATCCCGGTGAAAAATATCGAGTACCCATGTGATATCCTACCCACATAAGAATTACAACTTTAATTGACTCATTCACGCCTAACTGTGTGGTCTGTCACCCACGCTGCTACATCTTGTAACGACACTGGACTTACCCCTTTTCGCCGCCGCTAGCGCCATGGAGGTGCTAGCGAGGACCTGACCAGTACCTCCTACATACATGTATGTATGTAGGAGTATGTATGTAGTAAAAAGAGATGTTTGTATGTAGCAAAAAGAGAGTTAGGTCAGTGCCTCCTACATACATATGTAGGAGGCACTGACCTAACTCTCTTTTTCCGCCCCTCAAACCTCCTACCACACTACTCCTTTTCCTCCTCCTTCCAGATTCTTATCAGAAGGTCGAGTAAAAAGATGTTTCTACATTTTGACACTCGAGAATAAAATACGATCTGTGTGTGTACTTTTATGGGGTGAAACAAAGCAAAATAGGAACTGTATTCAGGTAGGTGTATACAGTATGTAACGATCACTAAATATTACTCCGTACAAATCGTAAACTTCTAAGTCATGCTTTTGTTACTGTTGGTACTAGTTAGTACACTTCATTCTTTCTTTACCAAATTATACAATTTCATAGAGCTCGTAATAATTTTTCCATTAATAAGTAATAATTTACAGCATTGGCAGCAGGCGAAAGGACTTCCAGTCAGTCAATCCAAAAATGATGACGACTTAACAGTTGGGTAATGGATATTATTGCAACTTATCTCACTTGTTTGACAATACCATTAGAATACGTCCATGAAATTTATTGTTGCTAAGAACCCAGGATAGCGTCTGTCATTGGCATAAGCCTTAGATACCTTATCGGTGACTATACGACCCTGGAAGGCGAGCCCAAGTATCTCCCATCCTTCTTTTCTTGCTACTAAACGAGTCAAGAAAGCTTTCTGCTCATCGTATATTTTAAGTGCCCCATGCCGCAAAAAACGTTATGCACTACATCTAAGCCCCAAGCCTTCCTGAATCTGGGGCAAACGATACAGCAGCTACCAACACGCATTTTACCGATTTGGCGGACATGCCATAGTGAAGAAGATAAAAGTCAGGGAGCGAGAAATCTTTCCGAGTGAGAAAAACGAACAAAAAAAAAAACAAAAAAAAAAGTAAACCTTATCCTGAAGACCAAAGAAAACTTTCGAGAACTATCGAAAAATTCAGAAGCTACCACTTCCACCCAAAACAGAAGAAATGCAGCTAAATACTAAGAAATTCAGAGATTCCACATAAAAATCAAATGAAGAAAGCTCAACTGATATAATTTGGATAAGTATGATAAAAGAAGTATTTTCAATATTGAAAAGCCTGAAAAAAAGCAGTCATTCGCAGAATCAATTCTGAATGCTGGTCACCATCCTAAAAGCAGCAAAGCTATACATGAATTAGTTCGTTCAAGACGATACCGAAGATATTATTCAGCTTTGCAGCAAAGGAAAAAAAATATCATAATCGTCACGAATCGGAGATTCCACATTCTCTGTCACCAGATGGTGGCACAGCTTTCCCCCTTTTTTTCATTTACAGACACATACGCGTTTAGAGAGCATTTGGGCTAACGCCACTTTGGACTATAAATATTTAAAAACAACATATTTTTCCGAGTTTCCGATATACAGTCTAGCGCGATGGAGATAAAAATGTTTTATTCACTAGCGTGTTGCCACTGTTAGCTTTGAAATTGTTGAGTTTTTTAATTAAAAAATCGTTAAAGTTTTATAAAATATGAAATAGAGTCTAAAACAAATTCCAAATTCGGGTTTCCACGTGCCCATGTTCGTGTGAGGGACTATATTATTCAAAATTTGAAGAGTCTAAGTCCCTTTTTTTCACAATGCGAGAAACATACAAACATTCATGTAGATTATTCATTATTTAGATTTTAATATAATACAGGGCGATAATATTTGGTGGCAACAATTTGAAAAGTATTGAACTCAATATGCCGTTTTGAGAGTAATAGCCCTTCTGGGATAATAACATGTTCAATGGCATAAATTTATCGGATAGAACTAAGCAAATAGCAGGACCTATGTCTGACAGTAAAGCAGCAGAAAATACTATTTGGAAACTGTTGGCAATTTTTTCAATATTTAGAGAGGTTTTTAATTCCCTAGATATTATAAATAATGACCAACAACCTAACAATAATGTAAAACATCCAAGAGCAATACTTAACATATTTAAAAGTAGTAATATTAGTTTCCCTTGTTTGCCTTCTATGGATACTATCCCCCCGGGGGTCGACGTAGAGAACTCTGCGAAGCTACTGGCTAGGATCTGTACCTAGGCAGTCTCGGCCACGGGGGTATAAAATTTATGAACTTGGTGGTTCTGAAGGCTCTGGGAAAGGTCACTTATTGGCCGGCCCCGGAGTCTGGCACGTCCTAGCGCGGCGTGGTACTAGTAACCTGGGGTTCTCCCCCGGGGTCGCTGGGTAATGCCCCGCTGCGACGGGCTCGCCCAAGCGACTGGTAGGAGCATTAGACGACCGGTGCTGCCTGCTGTGCGTCCCCAGGTGGTGCGCTGCTCTCCTGGAGGGTAATAGTGGAGGTTGAACCACCACGACGTGCCCAAAGGGGGAGTGGACCCGGAATGAGATTGAGTTCTCGATACGGGGAATGCCTTAATCTTCTTCTTCTTCTATGAATACTATATAGTATTCAATTATGTATTTGTCTGTTCTTAATTCGCAAAAAAATAGTTTTCTTCCACATGTATCCATGTGGCGTGTATCCGGGCAATGCACCCTTGTTAAATTAAACCTATGCAAATTCACATCTAAAAGTAGCAAGACTTTTACTTACTAGTTCGTCTTATATCTCCAGGGCTGATACTAGCGGGGGCAAGATAGTGCACAGCACATGGGCGGCCAAATTTAAGGCGGCGAAGTGATTGTCAAACATATTATATTTCTTTAAAAAGTGCCCACCAATTTTAATTCGCACATCGGCCGCCGACGGTCTAGGATCAGCACTGTATATCTCTATAGATTTTCTCATTTCTCAAAATTTCCGACAATAAAGTATCTCAATAAATTGAATTTTTACACTTTATTTACAAATTTACTCATGAAAATATACTGCAAACAGAATAAAATGAGCAATGATTGTAGAGCGAACTATCTTTACTAAAATATTTTGTAATATGTAGTATTTTAAGTGTGCAGATGACACTGGTACTTTTAATATTCGACAGTCCTAGTGGCTGAGAGTGAAAGGCAAGATGGCGAAGATGTGAAAACTGGATTTTGAGGAATCACCCAATCTTTACTTTCACAAATATCAAATCATCTTGGTGGACAAGGCATTTATCCAATCACAGTTCAATACGATAATTTTTATGTACACAGTTTCTAAAAATACGACGTAAGCATCTTAGACCGGAAAGCAAAGCAGCGTGGTGATGGTGGCATGGCAGAAGTAGACGAAGGAAGGGTTCTATTATGAGGCACTTAAGCTTATTGCCTTTATCCCCACATCATCAAAATTTCATCCCAAAGGGTCAAAAGTAAAGACGAGTGGAAAGGTTGACGTAGTTGCTGTGCGCCGGGCCCGGAGCGCGGTTTCATTTTAATTGTAAGGATCTTAAGTTTTACTAACGTTTATTTTATTTTAAATCTTTACTATCACTTCTTATTTTCTACTTCCGGCCAGAATTATAAGCGTTAAGGTTATTTATGCAAAGTTTGTCTGGCGAACGCCAAGTATTTAAGTTGTGGCTTTTTGCCAAGCGAGAGAGAGGAAGCAGTTAGTCGAAGCAGGCCGCTTACCTTAGAAGTTTTACTCAGTTGCTGGTTGCCTTCCAGGCCAGAGGTTTTAATCCTCTTGATAAT